CCGCAGCTCGACGGCAATCTTATCCTCCTTCCTTATGTCCGCACTCTCGCCTTCTCTGCACCTCACTCTCGACCAAGGCCCTCACGAGCCCCGTCGCCAGCTCCGTGCCTCGGCCGACAGCCTCCTCGCTCGCGTCACACGGCACGTGCAAGAAGACGACGCGCCTCTGCTCGCCCTTACGGTAGAGGTGCGCCAGACTCGACATGTAGATAAAGTCGCACAGATAGCGTCCCGCGTCCTCGGAAATGCGCAGGTCGGCGTCGTCCGGGCTCAGCCGTCGCCAGCGCCGCAGCACGTCGCGCACGTCGAGGTCCGTCTCGAGCTCGGGGGGTATGTCGGCCCAGACCCAGTCGGGCCCCTGCTCGCGCCGCCGGTCGTCGTCCTCGAGGCGCGTGCCGTCGACGTCGGGCATCGCGTAGCCGTCGCGGTGGCCCCGGCGCTCGATGCAGTAGAAGGGTCGGGGGCCCGCCATGCCGATGTGGATGCAGAGGTCGATGCGCGGCGGGTTGGAGGGGTGGGCGGCGGCGTCGCTGGGGTCATCACGTGGCGGTGCCGCCGAGGGGTCGCCGGGGGTGTCGTGAGGGAGCTGGTCCCAGAGAGTCGGCACGAGACCTCGGACGACTTGGTAGTTGACGCGGATGGCCTCGGGGTGGACGAGGATCCGGACGGGCGGCAGTGGTAGGGCCGGTGCCGTGGAGGGGTCGGCGCCGGCGGCGGGCACGGAGGTGGTTGGCAGGTGGGATGGTAGGCGGCGTGCGATCTCCCACGAAGGGTTGACGGGGTAGGCGGCTTTAAAAGGCTGTGGGCATACCGCTTGTCAGCCTGGCTGGTTCCAGTACGTCGGATGCAATCCTTCATGGATAGCGACAAGGGGAGAAGGATACTAGGGACAGGGGAGCAAGGGGAAGGCAAACGTACGCCGAAGCCGGTCACGAGGACCGTAAACTCGTCCTGCGAGTCAATCTGAGAGCCCATTGCGTCGGGAAATGAACGAGAACGGAACAGACAAACCAGGACAATGGCAGAGGAGAAAGACAAGGTGATCTATGACCCTTCACTAGACGCCCCGGACGGATGTTCCACACAACGCGTTGCAGTGCAGAAGCTGGGGATTGTACGTATATATCGTTGTGGAAGGAGCTCCCAGTACCTGGTGCTTGCCTTGCACCTGCCCCTCACTCAGTTCGCCTGGGTTGATGCGGGGAAGGACACAAGGAGCGAGCAGTCGATCGCCACTGCCCGCGCTAAGACGTGTGCTAGCCCTTCTGGGCCGCTACTTGAACCAGATCTGGCTGTGCTCAGATCCGCTATGCTCAGATCCAACTACTTGCTCTCCAAGCCGCACTCAACCGTCGTGGCCACCACTCATCAGTCCTCCTCGTTGATGAAAGGTACCTAGAAAATGGATATCACAGCTTCAGATGCCCGTCTCGATTTATCGAAACACCCAACTACCCCCTCAGGAAGGATGATGTACCACCGTGAGCAACCAGCTCAGCTATCGTCATGATCATACTCCACGAACAGCGTGGTTCCCTACCCCGAGCGCCTACGTCAAGTCTCTGGGACGATCCAAAATCCGCAAACCCCCCGCGTCATCATACTCGACACGGCTTTCGTTGACGGCTCGTTCCATTTCTGGTCGCAGGACCGTCTTCTCGCCCGTCGAAGGATCCCATTCCCAGCCCTCCTTCATGTACATCCACCGCAGACACGCCCGCAGCTCTTTATCATCCGGCCGCACTCTCATCCATCTGGTATACCGTCAGCGACTACTCTTTGCGATTGTCAGGAGGCACATACTCGGGCTGGAACTCGGGTGGCGCTCCGAGGCCGTTCCAGTCCCGGGCCCGGTCGAGCAGCACGTCTCGGCAGAAAATCCGCCAACTGTCGAGTGCATACTTTCCCTGCGTCATGTGGCCAATCTCCCATGCATCGCTTGTCTCTCTGTCGTTCGTCGGCGTCGTAGCATCGAGTGGCAGCTTCGCCAGGGACCTCCCGCCTGTCGTAGCCTCGCACTCCGATACAACCACACCAGGCTGGTGGCGGGGTCCTCGGGCCTAACCTGGGGTACCTGAGGGTCATGGAAGTGCGATTCATTGCGAGCCCGAGGTGGTGAATCATCTCTGTGATGGCTGTTGTAGCCCCGGACGCGGCGAGGCGCTCTGGCGTGGGAAACCGTTGTTTTACCTTGTAAAAGGCTGGTATCGCCAACGTGCCTGCCGTTTTGATCAGGAATGTGACGGCAATGAGGAGCCAAAAGGGGTCGTGCGAAAGTTTCTCCTGGATGAGACTGAAGCATGGCGCCGTCAGGGGTGGAAAGGGTATGGCGGAGACGGTGCCGGCCACAGGCCGCCTAGTCTTAGGTGATGGTTTGGGCGACTCTGGGCAGAAGAAGGGCGATTTCACGGGGCTCCTCAGCTTGAACGTCACGTCTGACGGGAGTTGATCTGCCACGCCTTGAGAAAAGATGGCGTCTGGTGGCAGCAGAGGCCGGACCAAGTGCCCGTCCGTGGTAAGCTCCTGCGGAGAGAGGTGCGTATTGTTAAGCGACAAAGCCGCAGGTGGTGCCAGAAAATTGGGGCCGACATCATTGAGAACGTCTTGTTGAACAATAGTTGACGGGTGGTGATGACTGTCATGTGTGGTGTTCTCGGGGGAGACTTGCCCCAGCTGTGCGCCCTGCCCAACAAGAGCTTCAAGGGTTCTTGACACTGGATCGACGTCTGCTTGGGAAACGGAGCCCTGCGCCTGATTGGGTATGTAGCTCTCAGCAGAGGATGCCCAATACGACGACTTGGTTTGTTTAGGCTTTACAGAGGCCTGTGGTGCATCTCTGCGAACAGGCTTCTTATGCTGGAGCTCCTCGCCAAAGGTGCATAATGATTCCGCGCAGCACTTGGATCAACCTATCCGTCTCTGCCCAAGCCATTATCGTCTTGCATCATGACTTGTTGATGCGTGACAGGGAGGATGACACATGGGTTAACCTCCTTCGGCGTCGAACAGCATCTATTGGCAACTGGGCTCCGTCGGGTCGCTGCAGCGTGCCGCCCGCAGGCAGTCCCAACCCGCTCGCAGGCTGTTTGGGCCTTCAGCGACAATGTTGATGAGATACCGATGGAAGCTGTTTGTGACGTGGTGTTGCTCATTACCAGCAGGGTCCAGTCACGCCAGCCAGAACTGCCTCTCTCTCTCTCTCTCTCTCTCTCTCAAGCTGGCGCGGAGGCGGGCGCCGGGCATGCCGTGCTTTTTCCAATGGCGTGAGCATGTATGCAGGTGAGAGTCGCAACAAGATGGTGCACGCGCCGTGCCGCCTGCAGATATCGTTCACGTGGTGGACGTTATAGTTCGATGGAGTAGCGGCGATTGGTGGTGATAGTTCGCTAGGGTGGGTTGGGTGAGCTTGAGGGCGTTGGGGCAAACAGGTTCTTGGATGCCTGAATTGGCGAAGGATGATCAAATTGGCTTGTTGACTGATAATTCGAGCAGATCGACGGGAATGCCAGCAGATTGGTGTCTGCAGATCCGGAGTCAGCTCCAAGCACGCGAATCACTTTGAACAATGCCGAGTCAATTCCATAGAGATGGGGGGAAACTCGTTGGCGCCATGTTTTGGCAACTTTATCACTCGGATGTGCTGGCCGGCCGTCTTGCATTCGCTTAGTACCTACAGTAGAAATCGCGGGGGAACCAAAAAGCAATGTGCCAATGCAAGATAGCCCTGTTTTCGCCTGAAGCTTGAGCGACTCCCTACATCTCAGGTACTATGACCAGGCGATTAACAGGTAGGCGTGTCTTCTCGCTGTGTCGGTATGCTTGCACGACGACCGACACACCGAGTAACGCTGGCGGTCAATTGGCGAGGCATGCCATTGTCACAATGATCACGTCACGTCGACGAAGCGGCCTCTGAATCATCCTCTGTTTGCGTCAGACTGTACCAGTTCATCTCCGGTAACGCGGCACGCAAAAGCTGGCGAGGCTCTCCACTGCTCCACTGGCCACTATCTCCAAGCAGATGCACCCAATGAAAAGACGAGGGTTGGCACCGGAAGGTCACGTGTGTGCATAGCCATCCCGTAGCCTTGGCGCTCGGTGAGGTGCTCGAGTGTGGGTGTACCTGTGGTGGGAGCCGAGTGGGGAGTCGCAGTTGCTGACTGGCAGACCGGGGCCACGGCGCACCCAACACCGCAGCACCAGGCAGAGAGAGAGAGAGAGAGAGAGAGAGAAGTGTCAAGGCGCACGGGGTCTCCCCCCCGGCGACCTGGCCTCGTCGCTTCCCCCCCCCCCCGTTCTTTATTACAACCTTCCATCCAGTCTTCCCAACTCCAACATCTCCTCAATCCCCCCCCAACCACAAACACCCAATCCCTTCCCCCCATCAGCCGAAGCGCGTCCATTACGCATTACCGAACCCGGTCATCCTCAATCGTAGTAGATTTCGAGGAACGGAGATGAGCAGCAATCGTGGTAAATTAGCACCAGAAGTGAACCGGTATGTCTTGATGCTCTTTTCTTTCCACTCGGACCTTTTCGTTCTCCGAGCCTGTCCACGTTCGCGACCTGGCGTTCGCGCCCTTCGGCTCCGATTCCCCCCCTCCCTTACCTTCGCTCTCCATTTGATACAACGACACATGGCTGACCAGTATCACAGAGCTCTGTTCGTAAAGAACTTGAGGTAGATTTTATCCCATCATCGATGACCACGCGACCCCGACCCTGACCCTTTGTGCAGCTACAACGTAACTCCCGAAGAGTTGTTCGACCTGTTCGGAAAATTCGGCCCAATCCGGTACGCCTATGAACCCCATCAACCACGACACATGACCATCTCGAAATCCATCCATGACCATCGTCAATCCACCACACGACATGATTGTGACTAACAATGACTACAGACAGGTTCGACAGGGCATTGCCAACAACACGAAGGGCACCGCATTCGTTGTCTATGAAGACGTCATGGATGCCAAGCAGGCTTGCGACAAGCTGAACGGTTTCAACTTCCAGAACCGTTACCTTGTCGGTACGTGTCTCCCTCGCCACCTGCAGCTCTCTCATCGAGGCCATCCTTTTGAGGATACATCGTTAACGTGACATGCCCTTAGTCCTGTACCACCAGCCAGAGAAGATGCTCAACCGCACGAAAGAGGACCTCGAGGCGCGCCGCGAGTCATTAGCTCAGCTCAAGAAGCAGCACGGTATCGATTGACAATCCGACGGGTCTGCTGCACGCCTCCAGACCGCCACCCATGCGTCTGCAGGCCCGTCTTCCATGTCTTCACCCAAGACTTCCACCGCCGCCGCCGCGGCCTCCCCTTCTTCCAAGACGGCCCACCGTCACGACAAGCTTGGCGTTGCCGGGCACGTACGCCGGGCCGTCGTCCGCTTCGCCGACGGAGGTCGATCCAACGCCCTCCAGCCACAGACATGTGCGTAAAAAGGAGACGGCGCCTGTAACAACACGCCGCCGGGGTCGGGTGGGGTGGCCTGCTCTGCCTGAGCAGGTCCGCCCTCCCGGCTTCCTTTCTCTCTGCTCGCACCTTTTATGTCTCGTGGTTTTCGGCTTCAGCGGCGCCGGAAGAAAACCTCGCTCACCTCTCTCATCGAGAGTTTCACGACCTGATACGAATATTTGGCGGTCATGACAGGGGCAACTCGGCGAATCCCTTACACCGGTTGATTCGGGCGCGCATCCTTTTTTTTATGAGACGGCCAAAGTCTCTTTCTCCTCGCGGGTTGTCTACCAATTTTACTATTGCTTCTCTGCTACTCTAGTAGTCACATACTCGATCGTTCGGTTTGCTTTGGGAAACGGGGAGGCAAGGCATGACGTACGCATGCACACATGCACTCGCACTGACGCCGACCTCGCCCTGTGGATTACCTTCCTTAGATTCTTCCTCCTCCCCCCTCCCTTTTTTCCGAGTCGCAGTCCGTTGACAGAATGCACGATTAGAGGTGTCCTCGCCTCGCATGTGTCTCGATGGACGCTGATGTATTTGATTGGACGTGATGCCACTGATGCATATGTGATGTGCTACTTTGTAAAAGATGTTCTGGGGTATCGCCAGTTGGGTTGCCATGGTCAACATGGGACTTTTCACCCGAAGGTTCTACCTCGTATCGTCACGTCATGGCCGTCCATCATGGTCGGTCTATGTCTAGATTACGCACATCATGTCCTGATGCTCTCCAACGTAGCAACAACCCACTCCATGACCTCGCCGACCTCGCTCGACGACATGTCCTCATGCACGGTCAGACATCTCTCGACGACGTCCCGGTACAGGCGCCCCGTCTTGGACGCGAGGCCCGGCACGAGGACGGGCAGCACGACCTTGTCGCGCCACCGCTCAGCCGAGTAGTGCGGCTTGTAGTAGGTGCTGAGGACCTTCCACCAGCCAATCTCGAGCAGCACGAGGCCGAGGCTGTAGATGTCGTGGCTCTTGCGGTAGGGTTGGCGGGGGCCGCCGTTGTCTCTCTCGTTGCTGCCGCCGCCGCCGCCGCCGCTGCCGTGGCTGCCGCTACCGAAGGAGGAGATGCGCGGGTCGCGGTAGAGGTTGACGATGCTGGGGTTGCGCGGGTTGACGGACATTTCGGGGTCGAGGTCTGGGCGGGAGGCGTCGAAGCCGACGAGGTGGGGGGCTTCGATGCAGGGGACCTGCGCTGCGGAGGACGCGGCGTCCTTCTGCGAGAAGGAGGAGGACGACGACGACGAGGACGACGAGGACGACGAGGGGGCGGCGGGGCGGATGAAGAGAATGTTGGCACTGCAGAGGGACTTGTGCAGCCAGTCGAGCGAGTGGAGGGACCAGAGGGCCACGGCGAGGGTGCGGGCGAGGTCGATGCGGGCCGTGAGGTCGGGGGTGCGGAGGGGCCCGGCGATGAGGGCGTGGAGGGAGGTGTGGGCGGGCGTCGCGGCGTCGGCGTCGGCGGGGGTGTCGGCCGGGGTGTCGGCGGGGGGTTCGGCGGCGAGGGAGGCCGTGTCGGAGGGCGCTGGCGAGGGGCAAGGCGGCAGCTTGTAGACGAGGCCGTAGCGCGGGTGGGCGGGCGCGTCGTCGACGTAGCCGACGCAGTCGGGCGTGTGCAGGTCCGGGTGGCGGGCCGAGGCGGAGCGCAGCATGCGGGCGAGGTCGTCCAGGCGGCGGAGGTGCAGGAAGCGCTCGTCCGGGTCCTCGCGGTCGTACTCAACCCACTCGACGAGGACGGGGCCGTGGGCGCTGTGGCGGCCGGCGACGCGCGGGTCGTGGCCGGGCGTCGACCTGGGCGGGCCGCCGCCGTGGGTCGAGGGGTTCGCGTCCAGCGTCAGGTCGGCGCGGGCGACGCGGAAGGCAAAGGTCGGGCGGAACTGGGCCTGGGGCGTGAGGTCGAGGTTGATACGCAGCTTCTTGAGGGCGGCCGAGGCGCGGAGCTGCGGGTACGAATCCTCGGCCGAGGAGGCGAGGAGGGCGAGCTCGGCCACGTCGCGCTGGGGGTGGTCGAGGAGCGAGTGGCGCCACGCGCGGTGGAGGGATGGCAGGCGAGACGGCGGGAAGAGCTGGTCGAGGCCATCGTTGAAGTCTGCTCGCGTCAGTGGCCTGCGAGGACGCACGTGCGGGCAAGGGGTGAGGACCAAGGGGTGAGGACCAAGGGGTGAGGACCAAGGACGAAGGGGCCAAGATGTACCTTTGAGGTCCCGGAGGAGGGCAGTGAACTTTTCCTTGTCTGCAGATAGCCTCATCAGCCCCATGAACCATCGTGTCCGGCCGTGGACAGAGTCGAACCCCAGACGAGGAACACAAACGCACCAGCAATGACCCATTTGGCCCGCAGCGTCAACTCCTTCCGCCACCCCCTCTCCCTGCCGCCGTCGCGCTCGCGCGCCTCCTTCGCCCCCTTGGCCTGGCCGTTCTGGGCCGCGGCCTCCTCGACGATGCCGTAGCGATCCCGCAGCTTGACAAAGTCCGTCACCGTCGCGTGCAGCTCCTCCATGATGCGCCCCGCCAGCGCCGCCATCTGCGGCGTGCTCTCGCGCTCGAGCCGGCCCTCGGCGACCCCCCACTCGCGGCCCCAGACGACGAGCCGCATCTCCTCGATGCGCACCTTGCACACGAGCCGCGCGCTGTCCTGGTCGAGCCGCGCCGCCGTCGTGAAGTACCCGTACGCCCGCACGCAGCCGTCGAAGAGCTGGCCGAGGAACCCGATGACGCCGAGCGCCGTCGCCGCCGCCTCCGCCATGAGCTGATGCGCGGGTCTGTTCCCTGTGGCCTGGATCACAGTACACAGTTTCCCCTGCCTAGGGACCTTGGAACGAGCCAAGTGGTGGAACTGCAGGGGGCGTGAGCGTGGGCGCTTGACGTTTTGGATTTCTACCTACAATACGGTGGCCCTGAAGAAGTGAGCTATGGACAGTGGTCTCCTGATACCTGAGAGCCTCAGACTAGTGTCAAGACCACATGCAAACCGGAATACTCCCCCTCCCAACGTCGTGTGCCCCTGAACAATGCGGTACATGATCGTGGGACGTTCGAGGGCATCGGCGGTGCTGACATAATCAGATCGCCAAAGTGGGGTCAAGGCTTTCTTTCCTCGGTGAGGTGCGCCATGCCCTGTTCCTGTTCAGTCTGTAACTTGACGACAGCGTCCCCAGCTTGGCCTGCTCTCGTGCGGCATGCTCACGCCAACGAGAGCCACGTTTCTCTGCGATGGGTCAACGCTGTTTTGCGCTTGCTGTACGTCTGCCTCGAATCATGCACTGCGGTCTCGATCCGAGCAAGTGGCTTGCAAACGACAAATGGCACATCTAAGACCCATACACTACAAGCAGCATCTGTACGGGGGGGGGGTTGGCTACGTCTGTCAAGGTAGACAGACAATCACCGAGGCTCTACGTACCCGAGCATGACGCCTGCTATTTTCTTGCAAACCCGCTGGCCAAGTCAAGTCAAGAAATTCGGTTCCTCGTCTTGAAATCCCAGCACTCGAACGCATGCGAGACGAAGGAAACGAACATGCTTTCCTTTTTTCTGCAAGGGAGGTTGTCGAGTGACAGCACGGCCCAGAGCAATGTCCGGTGCGGAAACAAAGTGGGCGCGACCGTCGTCAAGGTCTCGGGCCGAACATTGGTGCTGCTGCCCTTATGCGAGATGGCTCTGGAACAGGCGCGGGCGAGGCGGGGCCGGCGGGGGAAAAAAAAAAGCATGGTTCGGAGAGCATGGGGTGCAAGAGAGAGAACACGCTCCCTCATGCGCTGCGCAACATTGGCTTGACACCCAGAGGCTCGCGCGGCCCTTTGTGCGCCAGCGGCTTTCCCACCTTCAACGTGCTTGAACAGCGACAGACCCCGAACATCGTCCTCATACCCACGCATCGACCCGTGCATCATGACCTCGCCGTGCAACTGAAAGATGACTGTGTGATTCATTTTTTTTTTCGCCTGAATCTAAAACCCGAAGCCCCGCCGTGCTCTGACTGATGACTCCTTTCCCGACAACATCATTCATATATGACCAACTGATGCATGGCCCTCGTGATTTCCCTGCTGTCCGTGGCGCCGTGGCGGCCGCGCAGCTTTTTCCATATATGGCGGCCCCCCTCCGCTGAGATCCCCTCTTCTTCGTGCCGAGGCGCTCGCGTCTCCCACCGCGTGGGCAAGTTGAAGTCCTCTAGCACGTTTTCCCCCTCTTCCATCTTCGCGACGCGCGCCCACATGGCGTGGGGACCCGGGGACCCGTCCGAGACGGGAGAGTATTCGTACTTAGTACACCTTCTTCTTCTCGTCAATGCTGAACTGGCCGGGGCCGCTGTTGACGAGGAGGAGGAGACCGCCGACGATGGAGAGAATCTGGAAGAAGTCGTACTTGGCGAAATCCTTGTGGGGGTGGTGCTCGTGGAGCTGCCATCTCGTCAGTACATGCACCCAAGAAAAGAAAAGAAAAGAAAAGAAAATCAAAGTAGGGACCGCGTACCGTCCAGAAGTTGTTCACAAAGAGGTTGAACACGCTGAGAATGACAACGAGCAGCGTGGCGCTGAACTTGGCCTTGAAACCGACGACGACCATGACGGACGCAATGGCGCCGATGATGGAGACAATGATGCGGCCAAAGGTCCAGGTGCCGCTGAAGACGAAGCCGACGAACAGGAAGATGAGCAGCACGCGGCCGGCGAGCTGGAAATACATTTTGCGGTCCTTCTCGTCGAGCTCGGGAATGCCGGCAAACGCCTTGGACTTGCGGACCCACGAGTCCGACATGACCATGAGGAGGCCGCCAATGACCGACAGGTTGCGCAGGAAGAAGTTGAGGTCAAAAATGAGACCGTAGCCGAGGGCCTGCGTGACGACGACACCCATGAGGCCAAACACGGCGTAGTCGGAGTGCTTGCGGATGATGACGAGCACGGAACACGCGATCATGGCGACGACGTTTGTGAGAAGGAAAAGATGCGTGATGCCCGACGGAACTAAGGGGCAGTGTCAGCGAAGAGGCCGGGCAGAGAGAGAGAGAGAGAGAGAGAGAGAGAGAGAGAGAGAGAGAGAGAGAGAGAGAGAGAGAGAGAGAGAGAGAGGCACGGCGCGCCCACCGCTTGAGGACTTGGAGAGGGCACAACATACTGTGTCGGTAGTCGTTGAGGTAAAGAAGCTGATCGCTCCACTGGGTGACGATGCGCAGAGCATCTTCGAGGAAGGTGACGACGATCAAGAATCGGCCAATTGCGGGCAGGTATCTGACAGAGAGACATCACAGTCAGTTTGCCTGCATTCCAGGGGGAGGCACGGAGGAAGAAGAAGAAGAAGAGGGAGAAGAAGTACTCACGGCCTGATCGGCTCGCTGACGCTGTCAAGAAGATCCTCAATCTTGCTGGTCTGTTGACGGATCACGTCCAGAGGGCTCGAATCACTCGAGTCCTGGCTGCTGGGACCACCGAAAGACGGCTGGCCGACGCCCATGCCGTACGAAGCCCTCTCTGCTGAGCCATGATGAGCAGCGCGGGAGGGTGAGATGTGTGATTGTTGGTGGAAGGAGAGGGCGTGTCGCTGCGCGGAAGAAGAAGAAGAAGAAGAGCTCGAGGACGGTATAGCCCTAGCCAGCAAGGGACAACAAGGTTGTTTGGTTGCACACGAATGTCGAGCTTTCGAATTGAGGAGAGGACGGTCACCAGAAATGGGACCAGGTCGCGAGGCCGAAGCTGAAGAGCTGGGGAAGAATTGGCCGTGGTTCTGTTCGACAGATGGGCGAAAGGGGGAAAATGTGGGTGGGAAGAGGATATGTTGTCCTGAAGCAGGTGATGCTCTCCTTAAGAAGAGGAGTGGAGGCGATTCACTGTGTTGAGCTTCCTGTCGGAGACAACCTAAGGGGACAAGCAATGGAGCAATGGGGCAATTGGGGAGAGGGGGGGGGGAGGCGCAGAAGGCCGAAGTAGAGTTCACTGCTTCCAAGGTGTAGAGGAACCTCGCAGGGTGGATGACCTCAGACAATCCAATCCCATGGCGCGGAATCGTTTAGGTGTCCTTTTTTAGAGCCACGAGCAAAAAGCAGGTGCTCGTGCAGGTACCTAACGCGACGCAGCGCAAGTGCCTTAGCAGGTAGGTACCTGCTACGGAAGCTACAGCACCCAGATGTGGTGCAGCTCGAGCACGAGGGGTGTGGCTGGGCGGGGCCGCCAGCTGCCGTTCTCCTGTGCTCCAGCGCTCCACCGCCAGGCGTCTTGGCGCTATCCCCTCCGTACCTTACCTAGATACCTTAGGTAGGTAGCCAGCTACCTAGGCACCTACCTACATTTGTACCTACCAGACGCGCTCTCGCCATGTCTCTCCCTCTCACTGAAGACCTCCACTCACCCGCGGCGGCACTGATCACGTATGCCGTCGTGAGCAGCCTCCTGCCTTTTCTGGCTACGAACGTTCCCCTCTTCCGACCTTATCTGCGAGCGGCAGTTGCTGCTATGGATGATGCGACCACGAGCTGATGGGACATTCGATGGGTGCGCGATTGCGTCCCTCCCATCGTCATGTGGTCCACATTCCTTGCGAGTGTGCAACCCGCCTTCGATCAAAGAAGCTTTTCACTGCACTAAGAGCATCGTCTGTCCATTTCAGGGCCTGAATGGTTGCTAGCTCTTGGCGTTGGGACCACGTCCGCTTTTCTTTGATCACCAGTCAGTAAAATCTTGACACTCGGAACGATTCTCAAGCTGTGCAGGCATGGCAGACGTTCGATCCTCAGAAACGATCACCAGTCGCATGTCAACAGCGTCTGGAAACAAAAATCTGCTTGGTCGAAACAATCTTCCCGGTTGACAATGTACAGTGAATCTAAATGTTGTGATGGCCATCCTCTATATTTCCAGAGGTGTAGCACGCCCCGTCAACCCATGTTGCTGCCCTCAGGGCCTTGTTCCCCCAATTTGATGAAGAATCCAAACAAACCCCCTTACCGTCATGGTCGATGCCAAAAATAGAGGGTGCGGGGGTTACCGAAAAGAAGTTCAAAGCATGCTTTACAAATAACCAAGCGCCCCTCCAGTTGCCAGCCCGAGTCCAGTGCTGCCGAGCAAGTCCAATCTATGCAAATCCTCAGATGGGCTTGTTAGGGTACGAGGGTGGCGCGCTCGTCGGGTTTCCTGGTGTCGGCAGCTCCACGGGGGCTTGGCTCGGAGGCTGGTTGAAGCTGGGTGAGTATACCATGCCGGGCGGCGGTGAACCCTGTTGGCTCATACGCGGGTCAGACCTAGCGAGAGAGTCAGCTCATCTGTCCATCACCACTTTCAACGCTCGTTGAGCTGCTTACATATACGAGGCGTGCGGGTTCTCCATGCCGTGCCCACCATAGCCATAGCCATGCGCCGGCTGTGAGCCCACGGTGGCGGGACTGTTTGACATCATGGCCGGCGGGCTGTGCTGGTCTCGATAGGGTTCAGACGACGGCGGTTGCGTGCTCCATTGCGCCGCGCTCCAACGGCTGTCGGATCCTGGGCTCTTTGGTGTTGTCATGAAGTTGGCCTCACTGACAGGCGGTGGGGGCGCTTGATAAGTGTCTCGTCGTTGCGCCTTGTCGAGGCCGCCGCGCCTGCCGCAGAACAAATGAGTGCGCGCCAATGATGAGCACGGCGACGCGCCGATGACTATGCCTGCAATGGCGCCAGCGCTGAGATCCGAGCCTCCTCCACCCGAACCGGAGCCTTCGTTGGAGCCAGATGCTCCGCCAGAATCATTGCCGTTGGGTGATGGTGTGCCCGATGTGCCCGGCGGGCTTGAATCATCTTCACCGGGGAACGGTTCGCCAGGGAGGATTTGGTACGTCAACCCCTCGAGTGCGTCTTGCTGTCCTTCCAGCGTGAACGTTGAGTTCTTTTGTCTCGTCAGCAACGAAGGGTCAAGTTTCACCACGATGAAGCCACTTACAGGATTGATCACCCCGATCATGTGCTTCTGGTAACAAGATCCAGGTGCACCACAGTAGTAGAATATGGGTTCCGTATCATTGATTTTGACCTGGTACCGTGGGGGCTGTATAACGAGGTCAGAATAATGCTGCAATACTTCTTGATGATACATGGACTTACATCATTGGTGATGGCAGCGACAGGCTTAGGGCCACTGTAAAACCCTTGTCTGCCGATATCGATGTATTCATACGGCGTGCAAGGGTAGCCATACTCTGCTCGGATGACTGAGTGGTTTGCTGGATAGAAGATCCATTCTGGGGCTGGGCATCAGCCTGGAAGACGCAACGACGAGTAGTACAAGTTAAACCCACCGATCGTGTCACCAATCTCTGCTGTCACCTCGTCTTCTGTGAACCGATGGCCAGACTAGAGACACGAGTTAGTGGCAGTCTATGAGCATGATCTGTGCCCATGCACTTACAGCGCCGACGGCAATGGTGATGGTCTGAGGGTCTCTGCTAGAGGAAGAGGTCGCCACGCTCCGGCTCGGTGCCCTCGTCGTAGCAGGTGAGGATTCTGTGGTAGAAGCGCTGATTGTCTCTTCCGCTTCAGAGTCCGACTGTGCGTGAACACCAAGCGTAAGGATGGCCCAGGCCATCAGTGGTGACACCAACATATTGACTGCTCTCATAGTGCTCAATGTGAAACGACGCGTGCAGTATCAACTGAGAGGTGTAGAAGAGGAAAGGATGGAGAAGACGGAGGCGGCCAACGGGGGATGGTAGCAAATCATAAGAACAAGCACCCTCCAATCCTACATGGCCACTGGGAGGGGAAGCCATGAAGGGGACCCAAGAGGAGCCGAGGGGGGTGTCAGGAACTGGTTGGGGGCGGAGGCGGTGCCACCAGCGATGGCTGTACCTCACGGCTGGGTAAACTCAAGGGCCAGCCTGGCGCAGGATGGATGGGATCACATCCTGGGCGACGGCCCCCGGAAGAAAGAAACTGAAGCCAACGCATCCTAGTGAAGCCATGTCCTCGCCCTAACAGAGGGTCCATACTCGACGCCTTTGTCCCCCCAACCAGCGATGTATCATTAAGCCTAGATCTGGACGTTCGCCCACACAACGGGTACGATGCTAATCGGACGGGTCTTCCGCGAAGGACGTACAATGAAGATCTTGGACCAAAGCATATGCTGAGGGCTTGGCGGGCTAGGATCAAGCTGACATGCAGGAGGGTGGTGGGCATATGCAGCCTCACCGCAGCGCTCATAATTGTACCGTCGCTGCTCGACTGTGGTGCAGGATACGAGTATGTATACCTCGGCCAGGCATTGCCGTTGTAAGACAGTGACGGTCGAAGAGACAAGTTATCAGCCTTTGTTTTGATCAGCAAGTTGCCTCGCGACTTGCGTCGGCAATGCGCTGAACATCGTCGTGGGCGACACAGTCATTCGAGGTTGGCGGGTGGCACAACCACTGCGATTGCTCTTTCGAAATCCGTCCACCCACGCGCGAGCTCGGCAGCGGGGTCTGCATGGAGAGAGCCTTCGAATGCACCCTCCTCGCGCCATGCCTGCCAGCTTCCTGTATGTGCCAACACCCAGAAGATCGGGCCATGGACGAAGAGAGTGCGTGGTCCGCGGCCGGGCGGCCGATCTGCGCATGGGGGCTAAAATGAACAATAAGCTCCCGCTGGAGTCCTAGGAGGTGAGGTCGGCCGCCGTGGTGCGCTAACCTGGAACAGGCTGGTCAAAGTCATTCGACCGACGGCTGAAGTGGAGCTTCCCGTTGGTGACAACAAGAAGTGTGGTGACAGGTGGCGGCCAGTCCGACCATCCCTTGCGTCGAGATGGTGTGAAGGGCTATGTTGAGAAGACCGGCAGAGGCCCCCAGCCTGCATTCGATGTGGCTTGGAGACCGGTGTCGCCGCTGGCCTGACCTCTCAGAGGACCAAGTTGCTTCCTTGACCGCATGTGCCGTAAGCTGACGATGGCGAGGGGCCGAGCTAACATCGTCGGCCCTGGCAGGTCCTGGGCGGGAGGAGGTGGTCCTCTCAACCGCGAGGCGTTCTTCGGCACGGCAGCCCAATGGTCACTAGAGTTCGGTACGCCAGATAATCTTTCTCGAATCGCCTCGATGCCGTATTCTGAGGCGCTTCCTTGGCGACGGATCACTTTAGCTTGGTATCGCTCATCGACACTCGACGGCTCAACACCATCGTCACATGAAAGGAGACGCGTTCAGCTGCTTTTGGTAGATGTAAGAGACATTAAGACCAAGAGCGACCGGCGTATATTCGATGGAGTCAAACCCTGAGGATCCTTTCGTGGCTGGCATCATGTCATGCTCTTGTCATGACTTTAGCCCTCGTGGCTCCAGTGGAAAACCATGCTGGTGTCTCCGAAGGGAAGAAGGGGCAGAGGGGGATTGTAACTCTGGGGATTGACGTCGCTTAGTCATCCAAACGAGGACTTGATAAGATAAGCCAGGAACGCTCAAAGCTCGCTGTTGCAAATTGAGAGCAACTGGCCAATGAGCAGACGGCTGTCTGTGCTCCAGCCTCGCTGCCTTGCAATTCAGACAAGCCCAGCCGAGAGCCTCAGTCAACTTCCAACCATCTTGCTCCAGAAAGCAAATCGCTGATTCGCCGCGTGCATTACCTACGCGCAGCCATTGATCAGCGCTCTTTCCTTGTCATCGTTGTTGAGGCTCTTTGACCGACGACCGTCAGCATGAACGGCGACGGCTACTCTCGAGGTTTGTTGTCTGTGGCCCTTTTGGCAAACTTGCCCTTAACAGTATTTACACAGACGAGCGACGAGGCGGAGGTGGAGGCGGAGGTCGCGACTACCAGGTATGCTACTCCCTTCACAATTGAAACTCCGCATTTTCACTAACATAACACTTACCAGCGCGGACATCGCGACGACCGGCGCGATCGAGAACGCGGCGGAGAACGCGGCGGAGAACGCGGAGGAGAACGCGGCCAGGAGCGCAGCCACCGAGACCGTCGCCGATCCCGCTCGCCCTACGAACGAGGCTCGAGACGACAGGAAAACGACGATAGTTACGCCGCCAGCCGAAGCCACAGGGAACGCGAGCGTGAAGACAGATACTCTGGAAGAGACAGGCGCGCCGAGCGGGATTGGGACCGTGATCGCGGTTCATCCCGGCGCGATGCCAGGAGAGATGACGATGATCGCGGCGCGCGGAGGGGAGGCGACAGAGACCAATTCGACGATCGCAGGCGCGGCGGCCGCGACAGAAATGAAGAATTCGCCCGGCGTGAGCAGCGTCCCCGGAGCGCTAGCCCGCCCCCCAAAAAGCGCGAGCCGACCCCCGATCTAACCGACATCGTGTCGGTGCTGGATCGCAAGCGTCGCCTCACCCAGTGGGATATCAAGCCCCCTGGCTACGAGAACGTCACGGCCGAACAGGCAAAGCTGTCCGGCATGTTCCCTCTGCCCGGTGCCCCGCGTCAACAGCCCATGGACCCTACCAAGCTCCAAGCTTTCATGAACCAGCCCGGCACCGTTAACAGCGCGTCCCTGAAGCCCAGCAACTCCCGCCAGGCGAAGCGGCTGCTCGTCAGCAAGCTCCCCTCTTCGGCGACCGAGGAGAGCGTGGCCAGCTTCTTCAACTTGCAGCTCAATGGCTTGAATGTCATTGAGAGCACCGACCCTTGCGTTTCCTGCCAGTTGTCAAATGACAAGTCCTTCTGCGTGGTCGAGTTCCGCAACGCCTCCGAGGCAACGGTGGCTTTGGCATTGGATGGCATCTCGATGGAGGCTGATTCTGGTACCGACGGCGCTGCTGGGCGTGGAATGGAGATTCGCAGGCCCAAGGATTACATTGTCCCTGCTGTCACGGAGGAGCTGCCCTACGAGCCTGGTGTCGTTTCCAGCAATGTTGTCGACACGCCGAACAAGCTCAGCATCACTGGTTTCCCGCCTTACCTGACGGAAGAGCAGGTTACAGAACTCCTGACATCGTTCGGAGAGCTCAAGGCTTTCGTGCTTGTCCGCGATCGACACACAGATGAGTCTCGGGTAGGTTGAGGGATCTCTTGCAAAAGACACAGTTTGACTAACGATTCTCTTAGGGCTTTGTATTCTGCGAGTATGTCGATAGCGCTGCCAATGATGTTGCTATCCAGGGCTTGTCCGGAATGGACCTCGGAAACAGCAAGCTCAAGATCCAGAAGGCCAGTATCGGCGTTACGCAGGTTGCAGGCGTTGAGATGGGCGTGGCCGCCATGTCCATGCTGGCTGGCACCACGGCGACCGACTCCGAAGAAAGCCGGGTATTGCAGCTTCTCAACATGGTCACGGCCGACGAGCTGATGGACAATGAGGACTATGAGGGTATGTGGCTCTGCAGTATTTGGTTCTGTGAAATATTCGCTAACCTTTCCACCCCCAGAAATCGTGGAAGATGTGCAGGAAGAGTGCGCCAAATATGGCACCGTTCTAGAGGTCAAGGTACCCCGCCCCGTCGGCGGCAGCAGGCAATCAGCCGGAGTTGGCAAGATCTTCGTCAAATACGAGACCAAGGAGGCGACGAAAAAGGCCCTCCAGTCTTTGGCGGGCAGGAAATTTGCGGATAGGACTGTCGTCACCACATATTTCCCAGAGGTATGATCTTTGCGATGCTCGGACTTACGTCTAGAGACTAACATTTGTATAGGAGAACTTTGACGTGAATGCTTGGTAGGGTGCATCAGACAGTGCCCCTACGAACTGGTTTAACGGGCAATGGAAAGGAACATGAAGTGTGTCACAAAAAGGGTCCAGAGTCGATCCACGGGAAAGTTAGCGGATGGGCCATTCAGAGATTGAGTTCAAACGTTTGCCACAAGACCCAGAGCCCATGTATCATAGTGTCATGAGTAAAAACATTCTGCGACAGAAATGCCATGTCAAGCGGCTGTGAAGGGGTGAGATGTGATCAGGACATAGATGACACTGAACATTCGATGTGTAGTTAAGAGACTCTCCAAGTCGTGTCACTTGATGTCTGGGAACATATTTTTGGTAGAGAAACGTGTTAGGCACAAGGGATCAAGGAGACCGAATTCACATATTTGTGACTTCCATGTGACGCGGGAATCAGTTGGACTAAGTGGTCATTGTATTAAGCTACATACGCATCCCATAGGTTCAGATGCTGAAAGAGTAAGG